AGTGAAGAGGACTTGAAGCACTTACTGATAAAGATCAAAGACTACAGTCTTTAGTATGGATTATACCTCAATATAAGGAAAACAAAAATCCTCACAGCTGGACCAGTAAGCAACATCACGATAAATGGAGAGAAGATTGAAGTTGTCAAGGAGTTCATTTTACTTGGATCCACAATCAATGTCCATGGAAGCAGCAGTCAAGAAATCAAATGATGTATTGCTTTGGGCAAATCTACTGCAAAAGACCTCTTTAAAGTGTTAAAAAACAAAGACGTCACTTTGAGGACTAACATGCGCCTGACCCAAGCCATGGTATTTTCAGTCGCCTCATATGCATGCAAAAGCTGAACAATGAATAAGGAAGACTGAAGGAGAATTGATGTCTTTGAATTATGGTGTTGGCAAAGAATATTGAATACACCATGAACTGCCAGGAGAACGAGTAAACATGACTTGGAAGACGTACAGCCAGTATACTCCTTAGAAGCAAGGATGGTGAGACTTCACCGTAAGTACTTCGGACATGTTATCAGGAGGGACCTGTCCCTGGAGACGGACATCATGCTTGCTAAAGTAGAGGTTCAGTGAAAAAGAGGAAGACTCTCAATAAGATGGATAGACACAGCGGCTCCAACAATGGGCTCAAACAGAGAAATTATTGTGAGGATGGTGCAGGAACGGGAAGTGGTTCATTCTGTTGTCCATGGGGTCACTATGGGTCGGAACCAGCTCGACGACACCTATGAACAACAGTAGCACTATTCACTTGTGTTTGTTATCCTCAATGTAGGTTTTTATTTCACCTTCCCAGGTCGGATGTTAGGTTTGTTAACGGCAGTATGTCTTTGTCTTTTACTCTCCTTAATTATTTATGTGTTGGTAATGTTTCTCACCATTTGAAGAATCTGTATTTATTGCAGTCCTGAATCCCTGGCTGGTGTAGGTGACTAAGTGCTTGACTACTCATCAAAAGGTTGGTGAGTCGAATCTATCCTGAGGTGCCTCAGAAGAAACTCTATGGAGCACAGTTCTACTCTGCACACATCAGGTCCCGATGAGTTGGAATTGACTGGACCGCACTGGTTATGTGTGTTTTAGTTTTTCCTCAAGCCAGAAGTAGTAACACCAGTATTGCTTTTTGTTTCAGACCCATTTTCGGGTTTATCCATGTTTTTATTTTAGAGAAACATACCCTCGTCCCATGAGTTGAGGATGGTTACAGTCCATCCATCTGTCCACCTGTCAATCACACATCTATTGACTGCCGCTGGGTATGTGCCTGGCACTATGCTTGCAGCTGCAAATGCAGAGTTGGTCTCCCTGCTCTCAGGGGTCTGCTCTCCTCGCTGGCAGGGAGGGAGTGAAGCCCACAGTGTCCTGTAACGGGGTGTGGGTGCTGGGGTGTGGTGTCTTATTTCTATATTTGTGTTCTGATGAACTTG